TCTTCAAGTATCTTAAGTAAACACTTAGTTAACCAGCTCAGAACTCCCCTCTTTAGGGACCGGAGTACATGCTAATTACATACACGTTCGGGGCCACTGGGAGAGAATGCAGAGCGGGGATCATCCCCTCCTAACTCTCCTCAGGGCACAGCCTCCGGGCAGGGGAGGGGGGGTAATTATTCCCGGAATAAAGTCCAGATGCAGGAAGGCCTCGCTGGCCTCACCTGCCAGCACTGACCTGGCCACTGGCCTGCGGCCCCGCCCCTGAGTGACAGCGACAAAGGTTTCTGCCGGATAAGGATCAGGCACAGCCAGCAGCACAGATCCGGTTGGAAAACTGTACCGAATATGTATCCGCTTAAAACTCGGGGGTGGGGGCCGAAAAAGAGAAGTTTATCCGCTTTTATATATATATATTTTTTTACAGAGAGGAAGGGAGAGGGATAGAGAGTTAGAAATGCCAATGAGAGAGAAACATCGACCAGCTGCCTCCTGCACACCCCCTACCAGGGATGTGCCCGCAACCAAGGTACATGCCCTTGACGGGAATCGAACCTGGGACCCTTCAGTCCGCAGAGGGACGCTCTACCACTGAGCCACACCGGTTTCAGCTTCTCTGCTTCTTTAAGAGCAGACTCACCTACTGAGTCCGGGGTCCGGGCTGAAGTCCCCAAGCTGCCGAAGGGCCTGGTTTCTTAGCGTTTTGCAGAGAAAACATGGGGCCCAGCTTCCAAACAAACCAAAGGCGACCCCTCCCGGGGCGCCCAGAGGAGAAACGGTACGATTTGCTACAAATCGCTTTTCCTTGCGGGTGCCCATCTAGTGGGAAGTATGCCCCCAAGCCAGGCCTAACGGGGACACCCTGCCTGGCTCCCGGAGGCTGGCACACCATCCGCATTGCATCAGTAAATGAGGTCCGGTTTCCCTGCAGAGGCCCCATCTCGCCCCTGCCCTTCCTCCTAGGCAGCTGCAGACTCTCAGCGCTCTTCTCCCCAAGCCCCCGCCCCCACCCGCCCGGAGCCCTCCCCTCAAGGGGTCATCCCCACTCCCCTGCCCTCCACACCCCTCTCCCGGCTCTCACCCTGGCTCTCCTGTCTTCCTCCCCAGCCGCCCCCAAATGCCTGCCCCTCGCTCCCCCATCCCCACCGGCCTGGCCGGCAGGTGCCTCCTCCATCCAGGCTGCTCCCCCGAAGCTCCCCCTGCCAAGGGGTCCTGACTCGCCACCTTCCCAATTGGGGCTCAACCCACCCGGGTCCTCATCTGCCCCTTCCTCTCCCATCACCCGCCTGCCTCCCTCCGTCCGCATCCCCAGGCGCAGCCTCTGCCGCAGGCCCCCGGGCTGCCTTTGCTCACACAGGCCCCGCGACCGCGGAGTCCTGTATCTCCGGCGAGTTTACCTTCCCGTCAATCAGGCCCGCGTCTAAAAGCCTCTAATCTCCCGTGCATCGGCTTCATACCCTCCGAATTTCCTGCTTTTATCGCAGCTCGATGGCAGCGTCTCTGCAAATAGTTTATTATTCATTCGCGGGGTCCTCCCTCCCCCACCCCGGGGAGGACTCGCCTGGATGGGAACAGCCAGCGGAATGGGTAGGAGCCCTCCTCCTCCCCCTCCCCCACGGGGCAGCGGCACAGACCAGCCTTAGACAGTGCTGGCAGCCCTGGAAAATAGAAGCAAGTCCATGTTTTAATTTTTTTTTAATATATTTTATTGCCGCAGCTGGTTTGGCTCAGTGGATAGAGCGTCGGCCTGCGGACTGAAAGGTCCCAGGTTCGATTCAGGTCAAGGGCATGGACCTTGGTTGCGGGCATATGCCAGGTGGGGGATGTGCAGGAGGCAGCTGGTCGATGTTTCTCTCTCATCGACATTTCTAGCCCTCTCTCTCTCCCTTCCTCTCTGTAAAAAATCAAAATATGTTTTAAAAAAATAAATAAATAAAAAATAAAATAAAAATATATTTTATTGATTTTTTTTTACAGAGAGGAAGGGAGAGGGATAGAGAGCTAGAAACATCGATGAGAGAGAATCATCAATCAGCTGGCTCAGAATCATCGATTGTGACCAAGGTCCATGCCCTTGAACAGAATCAGACCTGGGACCTTTCAGTCCGCAGGCTGACGCTCTATCCACTGAGCCACACCGGTTTCGGACATATTTTAATCTGAAAGGCTGATTTCTGCCCCACAAACCAATTCAATATGAATGTTTGTTAGAAATCCTGGTTCGAGGGCTCTGATTCCTCAGAAGTATGCCTTCAGCTGAAACCGGTGTGGCTCAGTGGATAGAGCGTCGGGTCTGTGGACTGAAAGGTCCCAGGTTCGATTCAGGTCAGGGGCCTGTACCTGGGTTGCCGGCACATCCCCAGTGGGGGGTATGCAAGAGGCAGCTGCTCGATGATTCTCTCTCATGGATGTTTCTAACTCTCTATCCCCCTCTCTTCCTCTCTGTACAAAATCAATGATATATTTATTTAAAAAAATATATGTCTTCGATGCGCATTGAAGTCCCCGGTGTGAGAGCCATACACTTTTCCCCACTCTGGGAATCCCTCTCCTGCCCGAATTCCATAGAGCTATCCGAATCATTAGATAAACAACTAACGTCCACTTTGCACCCACAACCTCTCAAATGACTTTTTTACTATACAGCTGGGTAAGTACACAACACTTGTACTAGTTACAGGCAATTTACAAGAAAATCCCTGCTGTATTATACAGGAGATGTTTAAAGATGGCCTGGGAACGCTGAAAACATATTTATGAATGCAACTAACGAGAGGTAGCTATGACACCCCACGGGGACCTTTGTAATAAAGCTTCAAAGTTAAACGTGTGGACCCCACGTAGGGAAGGAATTTTTTTGGGGGGGAGAGACGTTTTATACAGTGACAGGCAGATACAAGCACCTGATACAGTAACCGCTTCCCTCAGCCCCAGCTTCTGAAGCAAACAGGCGAATACATATCAAAAGCAGGAATTAGATGGTTTGATTATGGATGATAAGGGAAGCATCGCCACACCTAGGTGATTCCACACTGCCGTTTATCAAAAGCAAAAATTCAGAGCTGATGAACAACCATTCAAATTCTTTATTCAAACACATTTCTTTAAAAAAAAATGACAAAAGCCAGTATTCTGGATAAATCAAATGCTTCCTCAAGTAAGATTCTCTCATCGATGTTTCTAATTCTCTTTCCCTCTCCCTTCCTCTCTGTAAACAATCAATAAAAACTATATATATATATATGAATATATATATATGTGAATATATATATATTTGTGAATATATATATATAAAGAAATGCGTGTATTTCTGTTTGGGAGGGAATGGCCCAAGTTAAGGGACGGAAGCCTGGAAGAATCCTCAGGACGATGGGAAGGTGGTCCTCCCACCCTGCGTCTCTCCTCTCCTTCCCCCCTCCCCTCTGCTCTTTGAGTCTGCGGCGCCGCTTCCTGAACCCCTTTCCTTCCTGAACCCCTTTCTTCTCTCTGCTCCCACCGGGGCGCTCAGAAGGCGGCAGAATGTGGCTCCCGCTTCCAACAAGACAAGGAGTCCTCCCAGCTTCGCCGACAGCCCGCAGTGCCTCCGGCCCCCCGACCCCCCCCCCCCCGAAACCCCCGCCCTTCAGCAGCCGCACCCCCTTCGGTCCCGCGACCACAGGCACCGATCGCCACACTCCATCTGAGCCGTTCAAACCAACCCGGTGTGGCTCAGTGGATAAAGCGTCGGCCTGCGGAATGAAGGGTCCCGGGTTCGATTCCGGTCAAGGGCATGTATCTTAGTTACGGGCACATCCCCAGTGGGGGGCGTGCAAGAGGCAGCTCATGAATGTTTCTCTCTCATTGATGTTTCTAACTCTCTATCCCTCTCTTCCGCTTTGTAAAAAATAAAATAAAATAAAAAATAAAATAGTGTGTTAATCAGAAAAATTAAAAAAAAAAAAAAAAAAAAACAGGCGAGAAGGGCCGCTGTGGGCCATTCCCCTAGAGGGCAGGGCCGGGCCCAGCACCCAGGGGCTCCCCAGCCCCGAAAGCCGCGGCCCCGCGAGGCCACCAAAGGGTTAAGGATCCGGGGAAAACCTGAGCCCGCTCCGCCCGGGGCGGCGGCGGTGGCGATTAGGTCTCTCTCTCTCTCTCTCTCTCTCTTTCTCTCTCTCTCTCTCTCTCTCTCCCATTTCCTGCGCCCTCCAGGGCCCGTTCCCAAGAAGAACACAGGGGCGGGGGTTTGAAATGTCACACCGGGGCGCCCGGGCCATCCTCCCGCCCTGCGCGCGGGGCCTGGAAAGAAAATAAACCGCGGACACGCCAGACTGGTTCTGGGCCGGCCGGCTCCCCCCCGCCTCCCGCCCTATCGCTGGCAGGTGATGCCGGGCCGATAAGGGGCCGCCGCCGCCCGCCCGGCCTCCGTCTAGACGGGAAAGAATAGCCGGCGGGGCCCCCGGACCCCCAGCCCGCCCGCCCCGCACACCCCGACCCCCGCCCGGCGCGGACACGCGGGGCCCCGACCCCACACACACGGCAGCAGCCTCGCGTCCGGTTCTCATTTTTTTTTATTATTAAGATGAAAATATTCGTCCCATGATGAACGGGCCGTTCTCACAATAAATAATAACAATAACTTACGTTCCGTTAGGCAGAGGCTCGCGCGCGCGCTCTGCCCTCCGTCGGCGGATAATTTAGACGCGTTTCAAGGTCAGTCCCGGGTCCGCGTCCCCCGGGGCCATGCGCTGTGCGGGGCGGAGGGAGGTCGCGCCTCCGGCCTCCTCCGTCCTCTCCCCGCTGAACCCCCCCGGGGAGAGGGGGGGCAGGGCTGACGCAGAGGCACCCCAAGTCTGGTTCTGAGGACACGGGCGCTCCTCTCCAGCCGGAAAGCGGGGCGCCCCGCCGGGCTGGGCCCCCGGACGCCCCGCGCGGATGTCTCTTTAAATAACGGTACTGCCGGCGGCGGGGGCGGCGGCGGGTCTCATGCAGGCAGCATGCGGGTCCGCGGCGGCGGCCGGGCCTCACGTCTCCACGGGGCTGGGCACCATGCTGTTGGGCGTGTCGGGGAGCTGCGAGGACAGCGAGGTCACGTCGCTGCCGCTGCCGGAGGAGTTGCCCAGGGAGCCGGACTCGGAGAAGGAGACCTGGGGACCGTGGGGGAACGGACGTGAGGACGCGCCCTGTCGGGGCTCCGAGTCGGATGCCCCTGGTGACGCGCTCCCGAGACCTCGGCTGGGTCCCCCAGGCGCCCAGCCATCCCTCTGCTACGCGCCCTAATCCAGGAGGCCTGGCTTCAAGCTAATTACAATTAGAATTTACAATTACGGACAGGGGTGCAGGTGCAGTGTTCCCCATCCCCCCAACACCAGCCCCCCACCCCCGCTTGCCTGGAGCCGTCCCAGGGGGTCCCCCAGCCCCCCAACACCAGCCCCCCACCCCCGCTTGCTCAGGGCTGTCCCAGCGGGTCCCCCACAAAAGGTCCCCCTCCCTGTCCAAACAGCAAACATCCCCCCACCCCCGCCGCGCCCGCCCCAGCCTCACCAGCTGCTGGAAGGCCGGCTGGTCCAGGTCGCTCTGCAGCGCAAACTCGCCCAGCGTCTTCCAGGGCGGCTGGTAGGTCTGCACCTCCACCGCGCTGCCCTGCAGAGCGCCGTCGTGGCGGATGGGGCTGCCGGCCACCAGCGGGGTCCCGGTCAGGCCCTGCAGGCTCTGCGGACCCGGAGAGGGGAGAGGGGCCGGGTTAGGGCGCGCTCCCGCGTTTCCCTCCGCCTTGGAGACGGGACGGGACGAGGGCGCAGGGGATGGCTCTCCTTCCCCAGAGAGAGTCCCCGGGACCTCCACCCCCCAAACCCGCCGCCACGGGGTTGGGAGCCCCAGGGGGCCAGGGAACCCCAGGCCCGAGTCCCCCGTCCTCGCCAAGAACGCAGGACACGACCGACTGGCCAGACTCGGGCTCCAGGGTCCCCCCAACTCAGATCTGCCTTTGGGGGATGGAGACCCCAGCTCAGATGCAATTACTAGGGAGCCCAGAACTTCCCAAGGAGAGCTTTCCTCTGAGTTCCTAAGCAGACTGTCTGGAGAGGACCACTCCCCGGCTCCCCAGGGCCCGTCTGGAGAGGAGGGCGCCAGGCTCGGGCCTCTCTGCGGCCCGGCCTGGCTCTCACCCCCGTTGCCCCACCGTCTTGTCGGGGGACGGAGACCCCAGCTCAGATGCAACTGTTAGGGGAGGCCCAAGCAGCCGGTCTGGGGAGGCCCGTTCCCGAGCTCCCCAGGGCCCAGTCTGGAAAGAAGGGCGCGGGGCGCGGGCCCATCCTCACCCCCGCCGCCCTCACCGTCTTGTCGCCAAGCTGCTGCTGCTGCTGCAGCTGCTTCAGGAGCAGCGACTTCTTCTTGTCCTTGCAGCGCTTGTTCTGGAACCAGACGCGGATGACGCGCGGGCTCAGGCCCGTCATCTCCACCAGCTGCTCCTTCATGAGCGCGTCGGGCCGCGGGTTGGCGGCGTAGCAGGTCCGCAGCGTGTGCAGCTGCTTCTCGTTCAGCACCGTCCGCACGCGGGTCGTCTTCTCCGCCGCCGCCGGCTTGTGCGGGCGCAGCGCGGGCGGCCGGCCGGACCCCGGCTCTGCTCGCACCCCGGGCCGGCGGGAGCGCGGGGAGCAAAGGGCGCGGTGAGCGAGGGGGGCCGGTGTACCCCCAAATCCCCGCAGCCGCCGCCCGCCCGCCCCTCCTTCGCCCCGACTTCGTTTCTCCTTTATTCCGTTCGCCTCCCTTTCTCTCTCCGCCCCCCACACGGAGGGCGGTGCGCTGAGTCCCCCCGTCCTCGCCAGGAACTCAGGACACAACCGACCGACCAGACGTGGGCTCCAGGGACCCCCCAACTCCGATCTGCCTTTGGGGACGGACACCCCAGCTCAGATGCAATCCCTAGGGAGTCAGAAACCATCCCCCCAAGGAGGGCCTTCCTGGGAGGCCCTAGCAGACGGTCTGGAGAAGCCCACTCCCCCTTCCCGAGCCCCCGACCCTCCGCGCGCAGCGACCTGCCCGCCCTCCCCCCCCCCCGAGTGCGGGGGTGGCTGCCCCCGACCCCGTCCGCAGAGCCGCCGCACTGCCTGGGCCGAGGGGCCCGCAGGAGGCCCGCGTCACCCGAACCAGAGACGGATCGCCTCAGGAAAAGTCCGTTATTTCGGAGGCAGAGAAAGAGGGCACCCACGGCCTCTGGAAGCGGAGGGGGACCCCAGCGCCTAGCTGCTGGAATGTGGGGGCTCATCTTGCGCGCCTCCGGCCCTCCCACAGCCCTGCCCCTTCTTTCAAGGGGGTCGCTCGGCCCAGGCCGTGCAGCCCGGCCCGGGTGCTGCTCCTTCCGCGCTCCCAGCCCTGCCTTCTCTCCACCCGGGAAAACGGACCCGGTCCCCGCGGCCGACAAAGGGAGATCCGAGCACGTGGCTCCCCGGCTTCCTCCATCCCGCCTCGTGCGCGCGTGTCCCCGAATTTGGGGTCTGCACACCCCGGATTCCTGCGCGCAACCCCCGTCCCCCCCACCCCCCAGCCAGGGGTTTCTGGGTGAGTATTTATAATTACAAATATTAACAACAACAAAAAAAAGCCGGTCCAGCCGTGTGCTCATTCTGCAGGGGAAGAAGCAACGGGCAGAGGCTGGGTGGGGGTAGCGGGGACCCAGCTCGGCCTGTCCGCACCGCTGGGGCCGGGCACAGGGCCCCTGACCCCCAGGACCGCGCACTCGGCCCCGCAGGCCCCCGGCGCCCGCCCCCCGCGGGAGCTGCCCCTTCCCTCCCGCCCGTGAGCATCTGGCCACTTAGTTCGTACCCCAAACGGGGCCTCGGACTAACGCGGACCCCGCTCTTCCCTGGTGGCTGGGCCCGCGCTCCTCCTCCTCCAGCCCCGGCCACCGTCCCCCAGCGGCTCCGGCTCCTGGACCCGCGGCCCAATGTCCCGATCGCGGGGGACACAATGCCCCGTGTCCGCCCCGCACGCACCCACGCTGGAGGCCCCCGAGGCGTGCAAGATGAGCCCCCACACTCCAGCAGCTAGGCACTGGGGGGTCCCCAGTCCTCCAAAGGCCATGGGTGCCCCCTTCCTCTGCCTCGGGTCACACACACACACACACACACACACACACACACACATCCACACCGTCCTGGCTCCCGGAGGCCCACAGCCGGTTCCCGCACACGCACACACCGGCCGCGGCCACAACTCGCAGTTCCGCAGACACAGAGACACACAAGCGACAAGGTGTCCCCCAAATCCCAGTAGCTAGGCGCTGGGGGTCCCCCCTCCTCCAGAGGCCATGGGTGCCCCCTTCCTCTGCCTCCGGTTCCCCGCACTCGCGCACACACGCACCCACGCGCCTGCTGGAATTTGGGGACTCATCTTGCGCGCCTCGGGGGGTCCTCCAGCCCTCCCCCCTCCAGAGGCCGTGGGTGCCCCCTTCCTCTGCCTCCGGTTCCCGGCGCACGAGCGCGCGCGCGCGCACACACACACACACACACACACACACACACACACACACACACACCGGCCGCGGCCGCAGCTCCCGGTTCCGCAGCGGCAGAGCCCCGCGCCCCGGCTCACCTGGCAGCGGCGCGCCCCGCGCGGGGAGCGGCCCGGGGCTCCGCGGGGGGCTGCCGGGCCCGGCGCGCTCCAGCCGGAGCCCGTGGTCCGCCCGGCACAGCAGCTCGCGCTCCCGCAGCGAGAACTCGTCGCCGGGCAGCAGCTGGCGGCCGCAGGCGGAGCAGCGGAAGCACTCGACGTGGTACACGCGGTCCCGCGCGCGCATCACCAGGTCGCCGCCGCCGAAGCCCGCGCCGCAGCGCGCGCACTTGACGCCGAAGAGCCTGCGGGGGGGCGCGGGGGGCGGTCAGCCCGGCCCGCCCCAGGGGGAGGGGGATCCCCGGGGGGAACGGGGTTTTTTGGGGGTGGCCCCGGCCTCACCGGGCGTAGTCCCGCTTGCAGTAGGTCTTCCCGTCTCGCACGAAGCACGTGCACGTCTCGTCCAGGAACTGGCTGCACTCGGCGCACTTGAGGCAGGCGGCGTGCCACTCCAGGTCCGGGGACACGCGCAGGATGAACTGGTCGTGGATCTGGCTCCCGCAGCCCACGCACGTGGCCGTGCCCGGCTTCTCTGCCGGGGAGGACACCCCGTCAGGCCGGGCTGCGGGTCCGGGTCCGCCGCGCCCGGGGTCCCCCTGGCCCGCCCGGCCCGCCTGGCCCGCTGGCTCTCCTCGGGCGAGAATTGCGCCCGAGAAAAAGGAAACGATTGGTAAGGTATGTACACATATAATATTTTAATTTTAAAAAATAAAGAAAGAAAAAGGTTTAGGCATCTTCACTTTTCATTGTCTTACTTCACTGAAAATTATTCATAATGTAAAAAGTGGAGCCCTATTAACTGATTTTTCCCTTAGTTTAATATAAGTGTGCCTCCTTTTTTAAAAAATATATATATATTTTATTGATTTTTCACAGAGAAGAAGAGAGAGATAGAGAGTTAGAACATCGATGAGAGAGAATCATCGATCAGCTGCCTCTTGCACACCCCCCACCGGGGACGTGCCCGTAACCAAGGTACATGCCCTTGCCCGGAATCGAACCTGGGACCCTTCAGTCCGCAGGCCGACGCTCTATCCACTGAGCCAAATCGGTCCCGGCAGTATGCCTCCTTTTAAGCAAAATATACTGAATGATTTGTAGAATAAAACAGAATATGATTTACAAAAAAAGAAAGAAAGAAAGAAAGAAAGAAAGAAAGAAAGAAAGAAAGAAAGAAAGAAAGAAAGAAAGAAAGAAAGAAAGAAAGAAACTGACTTTTCTAAAGGTTCCGGGCGACTGGGAAACTCAAAGACAAAAAACAGGATCTGGAAAGGCGTCTGGCCTCCCCCCCCTACCCCCATCCCAAAACGGAGAACGCATCCCTGTGAATTTCGTTGGTTGTGTCGGTGTGTGTTGTTGTAGCCAAAAGCTGAGGACGGGGGTGCGGAGGAAGGAGCCGGACACCCGGGCTCTGCGGACCCACTGCGTCCCCAGGAGCGGGGCACGGCCCCCGGCCCCTTCCCACGGCAACCCCAGCCCCAGCCCCAGCCCCGCGCGCCCCGATCAGCCGGGGGCCTCGCACCCGCAGGGACGCGCCCGGGTCCGGCCAGAGAAAACCGGTCCGGATCTGGGTCTGGATCGGAGCCCCCAGCCCGGCGAGCAGCCAGAGCCCAGCGCCCCCCGAGTCCCACCCCGCAACTGTCCGCAGGTCCCCAGCCCGAGGCCGCCCCGCGCGGGGGAAAGGCTGCGCTGCTCCGGGTTCCAGCGGCGGCTGCCCGCGGGGTTTGCGCTCCGGGTCGCCCCGGGGTCCTTGTCGGACACGAGCCACTTGTGGGACCCGGCGGGCACCTCCTGCCGCAGGATCGCCGCGCCCCCGCGCGCCCACGCCCCCGCCCACACCCTCGCCCGGGAGAGACTCACTCGTGGCCGGATCCCCCATCGCCCCCGCGCCCGGCCGCCGCGGGACCAGGTCCACCATGCGGGCGGCGGGCGCCCCGAGCGCGCCGGGCGGCGGCGGAGAGGACCGGGGGCGCGCGCCCCGCCGGCTCCTGGCGGCGAACTAAGTCGGGCCCCGCGGACTCGCCGGACCGACCACCCCGGCCCGCACGCAGCATGACGTCAGCACGCCGTCGCCGGGCGGCCGGGCGGGGGCGGGACCTGCGGCGTCACCATCCCCCCCCCCCTCCCCGGCCCAGAACCGGGGTGCGGGGAGGCGATCCGGGACCCGCAGCCGGTGGGCGGGCAGGAGCGCGGGGGGGGGGGGGGAGGCGGGGGCGGCGCGGGATTGGCTGCCGGGACAAGGGCGGCCCCTGATTGGCCGGAGCGAACAATGGAGCGCGGCCCCCTCCCCTCCGCGCCGCCCCGCCCGGCGTCCGGGCTGGACCGACCCCCGTCCCCGCCTGGACTTTCGAGGCGATCCGAGCACGGAGGGGGGGACCCAGGGAGTGGGTGGTATTTATTGAAATGGTCCCGTTCATCCATTAATTAAAATGAAAAATTCACTCTCTGGCCGAAACCGGTGTGGCTCAGTGGATAGAGCGTCGGTCTGTGGATTGAAGGGTCCTGGGTGCGATTCCGGTCGGGGGCGTGGTCCTTGGTTGCGGGCACGTCCCCAGTGGGTGGTGTGCAGGAGGCAGCTGGTCATGGATGTTTCTGGCTCTCTATCCCTCTTTCTCTCTGTAAAAAATCCATTATATATATATATATTAAAAATATATATATATTTTAATTCCCTCTTTGGGGATCAGAGCTGGGGAGGGAGGGTCTGCTTGGACCGGACCTGGGTCACCTCTCTCCTCCTGCGCCTGGTTCTGGGGTCCAGGCTAGGGAGAGGTCAGGGGCGCGGGTTCTCAGCCCACACCCGGCGCCCCGCACTTACCCCAGTCGGAGGAGCCGGGGTGAGCGGGGTGCGCGGCGGCGCGGGATCCCGGAGAAGCCCCGGATCCGGGCTCGAGCCTGGACTTGCCCCGTTTGGCGGAGGGTTGTGTTTGACACCGATCTCCACCCCCATCCCCCATCTCTCACCTCTCTCCCTCCCCTCAGCACCCAGCTCCGTCTGCAAACCGGGTTGGGGTCGAAGGAGGCTCCGGCCTCCAGAATGAACCGTGTTTATAAGCTCTTTTTTTCATATTTATAGACTCTTCCGTCTCGTTTTTCAGCCCAACTCGAACCGCACAGGATCCCGGCACAGCCGCGGGCGCGGGGACATAGGCCGGCGGTGCGGGGGGGGGGGGGGGGGGGGGGGGTTCGGGGCCTGGCCGGGCCGTGCGCTCCCCGTGCGCGGGGTGGTGTCTGCCGGCGAGCGGGATGCGGGGTGCGGGGAGCGGGGAGCGGGGTGCGGGGAGCGGGGTGCGGGGAGCGGGGAGCGGGGAGCGGGGAGCGCGGTGCGGGAGCGGGGAGCGGGGTGCGGGGTGCGGGGTGCGGGGAGCGTGGTGCGGGGAGTGGGGAGCGGGGTGCGGGTTGCGGGGTGCGGGGAGCGTGGTGCGAGGAGCGGGGAGTGGGGGTGCGGGGAGCGGGGTGCGGGGAGCAGGCTGCGGGGAGCGGGCTGCGCGGTGCGCGGTGCGGGGCGCAGAGGGGTCCGTGCGCGCCTGGCAGGGCGCGGTCGGCGCCGGGGCTGGACAGTCTCCCCCAGGTCCCGGCCCCGCTGCCTCCGCCGCCGGAGCCCCGGCTGGCGGCCCCGCGCTCCGGGCTGCGCGCCCGGCCTGGCTGCGGCCAAGGACGTGGGGGAGCGTTGCGGGGAGCCGCTGGGCCTCTGCGCACAGAACTCTGTTGAGCAGCTGTGTCCGGGCCTGGCACCGGGGGTGCGGGGCCAGGGTGCGGGGGTCCGGGGGGCCGGGGTGCGGCGTTGTGGGGGAGGGGGAGGGGGCAGCCGGAGGTCGCTCCGGCTTCCGACGCGGCCTCGCCTCCGGGTGCCAGTCTCTCCGCATTTAGTCCCAGCGGTGCCAGCAGCGGCCCTGCCAGCCACCGGCCTCTCT